AAACACAGCTTCCAGCCCCTCCCTGCCCCCTTTGCACCAGTCAGCCCCCCTCCCCCCCCCAAGAACCTCTTATATAGCAACTGTGGAACCCCTGGGTCATGTCACTTGCAGCCAAGCACAATCCTGAGATTCCATAGTAGGCGACTCTGGATAGCCTGGCCTGGTCCTCTTGGCTGGAAAAAGGTAGGGCACCTCGATGAGCTGCCCCACCAAGCGCTACTCATAGAAGATTGATAACTTCCCCCTAGAACAGTGGTTCTCAACCTTGGCTGCACATTAGAATCACCTGGGAATCTTTTTAAAATCCTGATTTCTGGGCCTCCAGGGGTTCCTGAGGTCTAACCACATCCTCTCCCTCTGCCCACCTGGAGCCAGCCTGGACCTAAAGCCAGTCCTTTGTCCCACCTGTCAAACTCCACGGAGTAAATGAGAATCAGGTAGCGCTTGGAGTTGAGCTGGGCCGACCTGGAGGCTGAGGGACCTGGGCGGCCCCCCATCTTGCGGTTCCGCAGGACTCCAGATCTGTGTAGGTCAACAGGTCAAGGGTGACTGATTCGCTGCTCTGTTGGGAGAAGGTGGGAGGAGCTACCACAAGACTCAACAAGGCCATACCAGAGCTCCCAACCCACTCACTGGGCCATGCCCTGACCTGTTCCAGGAGCTATTTGGGCTTTCCTACGCTGCTCCTGATGAACAGGATGGCCCTGTCCAAGGTGCTGGACAGGACATCGTCAGAGGGAGAAACTAGAAAGAACTAAATGCTCAACCATGGGGGACAGCTTGGGGCTGTTGGCTGCCCACGTACTGCCCGCCAACCCCTGGGGATCCCTGAGACCCTTTCCGGGAGTCCAAGAGGTCAAAACTATTTGCATTAATAAACAAAATTAAGCCCTGACCAGTTTGGCTCAGTGGATAGAGTGTCGGCCTGCGGACTCAAGGGTCCCAGGTTCGATTCCGGTCAAGGGCATGTACCTTGGTTGCGGACACATCCCCAGTGGGGAGTGTGCAGGAGGCAGCTGATCGATGTTTCTCTCTCATCGATGTTTCTAACTCCCTATCCCTCTCCCTTCCTCTCTGTAAAAAATCAATAAAATATATTTTTTAAATAAACAAAATTTTTAAAAAATAATAATAATAAAAATAGTCACCTAAATAAATGTCTGACAATATGGAAAAAAAACAATTTGCATTCTAATATTAAGATCATTTTGCCCTTGTGCTGTGTTACACTAATGGTGCAAAAGTAATGGTGGGTAAATATGCTGGCGCCCATTAGCAGAAATTCAGCCAGTGGCGTCAAATGTTCTTGTAGTCACTGTACATGCCATGCCGTCTCAGTGGGGGACCAGGAAGGCGAAATAAGCAAACAGACAGACAGACAGACGGACAGATAAAACACGGGAAATGAAACCTGGGAATATCCTTGATGGCGCTGTAAAATGTATTAATTTTATTGCATCTCAGCCCTTACGTGCACAGCATCGTACTACTCCGTGTGACAAAACGGGCAGCACGCGTCCCGCTGCACCCCCGTGCGACAGCTGTCTCAGGAAAGCACTGTGCCATCGAGTTCTGAGCTAAGTTGGCCACTTTTTCACAAAACGCTATTTTTACTTGGAAGAACCACCGACAGACAAAACCAGGGTTACTCAGCCTTGGGTGTCTGGCAGGCATTTTCTCAAAAATGAACAGAGTGAGGCTGTCATGTCCAGAAAAACAGCTGACAGGACTTGTTGCCAAGGATAAAATTCAAATGTCAAAGCGAAAATGGGAATTTGGGAAACCTGGTATCTGCACAGCCGCGGGATGTTGACAGACTTTCCTGGTGAGATCAGTGA